ATATTATTCTAGTAATATTCCCACACTTATTATAATTTTCCGGGATACTTCATCAGTATATATTTATACCGAGTAGTAGCACCGGTATCTGCACTTTTCGTCCGAAAAGCGACTTTCACCATTATTACTCATTTACTATAATTATCTAAGCCTCATAATAGCTATTAGGGTCAATTATGGAATTATTTTCTAATTTCGCATAATTAATTAATTAATTTCCTTAATTAACGGTGTGGGTTCTTACATTGACCGTGCTACCTCCAGGCCTAGGAAGAATCGAAGGCTACCAAAGTCCTTTATCTTGAATTTACCATCCAAAAATGCCTTGACTCGTTGTATCTCAGCAAGGGAATTGCCCGAAAGGATGATATCATCCACATATACTAGGAGAACAGTAAACGTATCAGAATCACTTAAAACAAACATGGAGTGATATGCCTTAGCTTGTACGTAACCAATAGAAACCAAGGCTGAAGATAGCTTGGCATACCATTTCCTGCTCGCCTGCTTGAGTCCATAGAGTGATTTGTTGAGTTTACAAACAAGCTTGGACTTGGCTATAAGACCTTGAGGCTGTTCCATGTACACATCTTCGTAAAGATCACCATGTAGGAGGGCATTATTCACATCTAACTATTCCAGATACCACCCTTTGATGGCAGCAACTGCAAGTAATGTTCTAACTGAAGTGAGCTTCGCAACTGGAGAGAAAGTATCGAAATAATCTACTCCCTCTTGCTGAGTGAATCCCTTAGCCACCAGACGTGCCTTGTAACGTTCAATGGAGCCATCTGAACGGTATTTAATCTTGTATACCCATTTGCATCCTATGGATTGCTTTCCTTTAGGTAGCTCCATAAGTGACCAAGTGTTGTTTTGTGCAAGAGCAGATAATTCATCTTCCATAGCCTTTTGCCAATGTTCATATTTAGAGGCTTGAGAATAAGTGTGGGGCTCATAGTGAACAGATGAGTTAAAACATAAATTTTTGTATGGATATGAACATTTATCATAAGATATGACATCGGATAAGGGATATTTAATGGGTTTAGAAATACCTGGAGATGTGCTGGCATGTTGAGTAGTTGAGAGGCCACAGTGATAGTCTAATAGATAATGTGGAGCAGTGTGTAAGCGTGATGATCGACAAAGAGGAGCTATTTCTGCTGGATTATTGTGATTCACAGCTTCTGTGTCAACATCATTAGCTTCTGTGTTATCTGTTGCTACGGGTAGATCTGTGTTATCTGTTGCTACAGGTAGAGGAGGTGCAAGAGTTGATACAAAAGTACCATTTGTTTCTGTAGGTAAGTCAGGTATGGAGTTTTGTGTGAGTTCTATATTTGACTAAGGTATGGGCTGTGGTATAGGTTCGGTGTCTATGGGTGTTAAGTCAAAGGGAGTATCAGAAGAAACTAATTGATGTATAGGATTAGGTGTGTAGGCTTTTTGGAAAGGAAACAAGGCTTCATAGAATACCACATTCCTAGAAACAAATAAGGAATGTGATGTGAGGTCATAAAGTAAAAATCCTTTGGTCCCTTCTCTGTATCCAAGGAACGCAGCTTTTCTTGCTCTTGGGCTAAACTTGGTGCGATGGGCTTTGAGAGTGGAAGCATAACACAGACTCCCAAATACTCTGAGGTGAGAAAGATCAGGAAATGATCCATGGAGGATTTCATAAGGGGTTTTGTTATCAAGGTTAGGAGAGGAAGTACAGTTAATTAAGTGTGCTGCATGTGCTACAGCATATGGCCATAAGGTAATGGGTAATGAAGCTTGAAAATACAGTGCTCGAGCCACATTGAGTAAGTGCTGATGCTTACGTTCAACTATTGAGTTTTGCTCCGGAATCTCAACACAAGTAACTTGATGAAGAATTCCTTTTTCTGAAAAAATTGATTCATGGAAAATTCATTTCCATTATCACTACGAAGGATCTTGATTGTAGTATTGAACTGATTCTCAACATAAGCCAAAAAATGTTTAACGTGTCCTCGAGTTTCACCTTTAGTTTTCATTAGCACCACCCAAGTGAAACGAGAGTGACCATCTACTAGAGTCAAGAAGTATTTATAGCCATTATTGATAAACTGTTAAAAGGACCCTATATATCCACAACCAGAACATCAAATATCTTGTCTATTTTATTCTGTGATGGAAGGAAAAGGAGACGTTTCTGTTTGGCCAAGTGACAAGCATCACAAGGCTTTATATGGCAACTATGAATAAAGGGAAATTGCAATGACATGATACGCAATACAACATCTGAAGCATGACCTAAACGTCGATGCCATAAGGAACAACTATCTGAAAAACAAGCTGAATTATTTACATCACATCTTTCTTGGCTTTGCATCTTTTGTTCACGCTTGACAACACCATCATAGACTATCACATATAGACCTCACTTTCGCTCAGCAATACCAATCATCTCCTGGGATTGTGTCTGCTTAATATGGAAAAAGGAATCAAAGAATGTGAGAAAACAATCAAGTGATCTTAATAACTTTGTAACAGATATTAAGTTGACATGAAATTCAGGCACTAAAAGAACATCTGTTAAAATCAGTTTTGGTGACAAGTAAACTGAACCAGAATAACTAGAAACAACTTGTGTACCATCAGGAAGATTAATTGTGATTGGCTCAATTTTATGAAGACTCATGAAACATGAGGTAAGGTGAGAGATATGATCAGTGGCCCCAGTATCAATAATCCACTGATCACTTGAGATACCTGATGCATTGGTTTCAGCATTTGAAACTTGTACTACATTATCATGATGAGATGGTGGAGCAACTGTATTGCCAGATTTGTTGTTGTGCAAGATCGAGAGGATGTGTTGGTATTGATCTTGAGAAATCTGATTGCTATTGATCATACTCGAATTGTCAGCTTTAGTGGACACAATATTTGCAGTGCGAGTGTCTGGAACTCTTGAGCAATATCCAGGTGGATAACCATGTAATTGGTAACATGTCTCCACGGTATGGTTTGATCTCCCACAGTGAGTGCAAACCCTGCCTCCAAATCCACGTCCAGAACTATTTCTCCCAGCAAATCCACGTCCTTTACTATATCTTCCACCATTTGGATTGAAAGATCTGCGATTATTATTATTTGCAGTGTTGTTGTTGAACATAGCAAATGATTGAGTATTATTGGTAACAATATTACCTGATTCAGATCCCAATTGTCTTTCCTGTTGAACAATCATAGAGAATGCCTTATTGATATTAGGCAAAGGATCAATAATCATGATCTGTGATCTAATCGAAGTATATTGTTCATTCAATCCTTTCAAGAACCGAATCACATGGTCCTTGTCACGATAAGCTCGTACTTTTAACATCGCTCCACAAGCACATGGAGGAGCACATTCATATGTAGGAAGAGGATTCAAATTTTCCAATTCATCCCACATCGTTTTAAGCTCAGTAAAAAATTCAGAAACAGGATGTTCTCCTTGCTGCAATTTACAAATCTCTTAAAAATCCGAAATGTGAAAAATATTAGTTTGAGAAAATCTTTCCTTGAGATCCAACCAAGCATCACGAGCAGATTCTATCCAGATAATGGATCTTGCAATGGATTCAGAAATTGATCTATGAATCCATGCTAAAACAGTTGTATTGCATCGATGCCATTGAGAATAAGCTGGATCATCAACATCAGGAGGATCAACAGTTCCATCGATTAAACAGATATTGTTCTTAAAAAGAAGAGCTACTATCATGCTTCGAGCCCACGTATGATAGTTATTTCCAGTCAATGGTGGTGATACCAAAACCAAAGAAGGACTTTCATTAGGATGCAAGTATAATGGATGAGGAAGGTTGGTGTTAAAATCTAGAGCAAAAGCCATTGCTATGGACGAAGAAAGGTTTGAGATGAAAGAAGAATCAAGAACAATCGAAAGATGAAAATTAACGAAGCAGAATACCAGAGCTCTGATACCATAACAGAAATGAATAATACTGATTCCATTGAATTAATTCAGAAGCTTACATCATAGTCCAATTTATATGGAGCTCAATACATAAGGGAAGAAAGGAAAGAAATAACTAACTCTAACTGAATTACAACTGTGCTAACGTCTTAACAGAAAGTTGTTAGCATTTATCTTTCATGATCGTTCTTCTTATGCAAGCATTGGAAGCTTCAGGAGCTGCTACTGCTCGGCCTTGAACTTGGGCTACTGCTTGGCCTTGAACTTGGGCTTGGACATGGGCTTGAGAGTTAATGGTCTTGGACTCTGATAATAGTCACAGGCGGTATGAATAATCATCGTACCACTTACTTTAAAGGTTGATTCATTTCGTATTGAGCTTTTGTTTTTTAATAAATTAATGTGACTGTGATCATGTCATGCACTCTCATTTTTATCTAGCATTTTGTCATTTTTATGAAGACCCATTTTCTTCTCACTTTTAATGAATGAAAATAAAAATAAAAATAGAGAAAGATGTGCCAGAGATAAACAAACAAACAGGCATAATATTTACACACATTAACTTAAGACTTTAATAATTACACAATGAATATAATATGAAAAAATTAGTGACAATGAAAAACATAGAACTCACACACCTTTTTATGTGTAGGAGAAAAAATTATCTCCTATAACATGAAAAACATTTAACCCATAAACTAATAGAAACAAAATCATCATGCAGGAAAAAGTATTGGAGCAACAATATATTATAATATACATTTGATATTTGTCCATAAATCACATCGATTTTGAAAGATAGAATAAGAATAAGAGGTTTTTTAAACATTAGTGACAAGCTCACCTTATAAGATTCTTCTCTACATAAGAAAGCGTTGTAAAGTCCAACTAAAACAAAAAAAAACAAACAGTTTGCTTGCATAGAGAAAAAGATGTTATATATAAAGCCTCAATATGTAAGAGCATTAGTTCTCTTAAGAAACAATCTCTTTGGATAAAAGATTGCGGTTTCTCCTTTTTTTTCTTTTTTCTTTTCTTTTTTTCTTTTTTTTTTCTTCCTCTTTTCTTATCATCTTTCTCTATTTTGCCCCCGCTAATCAGCTTTCACTTTTCTTTTAAATTATAAAAGAAACTATGCAGGAGATTAAGATGATGGTGGCACATTGAAGTGAAAAAGCCATGATATGACAAATGCAAAAACCATACAAGCAAGCAGAAAATTCAGGAAGCGATGGCCATGCCAAAATCTTCTAGTTTCTGATGAAGGAGAAGGTGTTGAGACTGCTGGTGCTGCAGTAGCATTGTTGCTGTCACTCAAAGTCTCTGTTGTGTCCTCATTTCCACCATAAACATTCTGTGCAACAGAATGACAAATTTCACAAGTCCTATTAAAATTTAAACAAACAGAAAAAAAATAATTAGAAAATTACAATTGAAGAAAAAGGTGTTCAGATAAATTGCTATAATTATAATTGTATAGTTACATGACTTGAAGAAAGTAGATATGATAAATCCCATCAACCTATTGCTAAAATAAAAAATAAACAAGCAAACCAAGAACTAACATAGCATTGAAAATGCATGATAAAAACAATATAGCATAGAAAAGGCTACATTGTCAACAACCATGAACTTGAAAATTATTATATCCAAACCCTTAAGTTTTCTACTCATTCAGTTGAATGTGGAAATAGTGGAAGGATGGAGCAATTATTTTTATTTTTTGTATAAATCATGTGGTATCCGACTACCAACGGGTGTCGACTAATCTGGATTCGAGCCAGGACCACAAGGACGGCATAACTCTTCTTATCAAGTTTTAACACACTTGCATACCCAACACTTGAACTCGAGATCACTAGTTAAGCTAGAATAACTCTCTGTTAGTTGATCCATGACTTGAGGGTTGGGGAAATTATTCCTTCACTCTTGCAATGAAGAAATTTTATTCAAATTTAATAAAGTGTATTGACATTTAATATATGTGTTTCCACTAAGTTGTCATAGCAAAGAGGTTACTTTTAAGCTCTAGATAGCCCAAGCCCCACTTGATACCTTCCTTCTACAAATCCATAATTGTCTTTGGGACTATGACAAAGTATCACATGATAAACCATGATGCTTTTTGAAAACCCATAAACAAAGAAAAAGATAGCATTATGAAATAATTTCAACCAATAAAAGTAAAGCATCAATAGATATATTAAAGAAGAGAACAGATTCAAATTCTGTTTCATTGTTGAAATTTAATTTAGCCATTAATCATGAACATGGATGGAATTACGTGGGGAACAGCTATTCCATCAATAATATAGGCCCCACTACCATGTTTTCAGAAAAGCAGAGAAAAATTATAGCACTACTTTGGTTAAGAATTCATGGACTGAATTAAAATCAAGGATTAGCTCAGTGGCAATGAGTCCATGTTTTAACTGTTCTACTAACTACAAGTGACACTGCTGAACCTAACATAAAGTACGAAAATATTTTACCCCAAAAGTACTTCAACTAGGATCTGGACACTTGTTATCTTGTGGTAATCAAAACAATTACGCAAACTAAAAGTTAGATGTCATCATGCATCACAAAAGAGCAAATTATGAATGATCCTTAACTTTTTGTTATGATATCCAAGGTGGCACATCAGAACTATAAGCATCCACCATGAAAAATGAATATTGAATACATCAACACAAGGCTGAAGGCGTCAAATCTCCACTTTGATTGTGATAAAGAGAATGAAAAAGAAGTAATATGAAATTCCTAAATTTCAGAAAAGGGACAAAGCAACAAGGAATCCCATTGTGCTTTAAACATGTCAGCGAATCAGTGAGACTGGCTGATGCTTTAAGCCTTTCTTTTTCAATAATCTTCTTTAAATAAGCTAATCTTCTATAACTTTACCCTCTCTTGAAGAAATAATGGACCCTGCCTCCTTTAAGTCCAGTTCCTTAAACGCTCTAAATGAGCTTCCAAGTACATTTTCCATCATGTTCATCAAACTTTTATTCAACATTTAATTAAACTATACACAACTTAAATTGCCAACTAAACACTTCAATTCCAGTTCAGAATTTTTCTACTCTATAATAATTAATATCATATCTTATACGTAAAAATCAAATGTCAGTAATTGTGAAATTTTTGGGCAGCTAGGAGACATGACATGACTAGTTAAAAGGTATCAAATTTTTTTTCCCCCAAAACTATGAAAGTTTAGCATAAAAATAAACTTCCACAATCCAAATAAGGAAAGATTGGATTTTAATACTCACCTATTCCCCTTAATCTTGAACCAGGTTTCTGCACAGTTCTTGTGAGCAGCAGCTAAATCATCCTTACAAGAACAACCCAATTCAATGGGAACTCCAGATTCCTGACTATCACTCTCCAAACCCAGGTGACAAATCCTACAATTCCTCTCCACTTTAGCCAAATGCACTTTAATTTCAGGAACCCCATTTTCAATTTCCACCTCCACAGAACAATCAGTAACAGAAGAAGCCCTCCCAAAATCAGCATCACCCCCAACCTCAGGATCAGAACCACAATCAAAGTTGTAATCATCATATGAACCACCATTTGTTGAATAGAAATGGGAATAGCAGGAACCATCATCAGCATCAGAGAAGCACACACTCACATCACTTCCAGTCACAGAACGGTGGTGACTTCTTCCTTGCTCCAAATCCACATGAGACATCTGAATAGTGGACATTTTCCAAGACCCAGAAGAGAAAAGAAAAACAAAAAAGAGAGCTTAAAGAGCATGAAACCCCAAAGTTTGTAACTTTGGGGTTTATAGCCCTTCACCAAGAACCTATAGTACTAGAACCAAAAAGTGCATATACATACACACAAAAAACAAAAACTTGCAGGGTATAAAGAATTGAGAATTAGATTAGGTGACCCTTGCCTTCAACCCCATTAATGCATGATTCCAAAAGTTTCAAGTTTTGGAACAGATTGAGGAAAGTTCCATCCTTTCAAGGCTCCAAGCTCAAGAATGCTAGCTTAGAGAGAGAGAGAGAGAGAGAGAGAGAGAGAGAGAGAGAAGGGTAAGGGTGTAAGCAATGAGAGAAACAACGGTCTACCAGACAGAGACTCTTGCTCTGGCTGAAGACATGGACAATGACACTGCAAACAAGAACAGAAAACGTGCAGAGAGAGCACAGAACAGATTGCATAGATAAAGAGGTGGGGGCATTGAAAACAAAAAGAAAGAGAAACATCAACATTAATAAAGCAAGTGGTAATGGTAACTCTCTCTGTGTTTTGGTATCTTTCAAAGTTAGTAACATCTAAATCTATAATATAAAATTTAATAATTACTTAATTAAAAGCACACAAATATCATGTGTTGAGATGCTATACAAACAATGTAATAAGAATGATAATAATAATGAAGGTAAAATAAATTCATTATTTTTTATTTTGGAAAATTATATATTTTTTCTCTATAATGCATTCTGCATTTTAATCTAACTTAATAAACATAAACTTGTTTCAAATACCAAATGCTAATAGCTCAGTTGGCGCATGGGAGCTAAGCAGGTGAGGGTGAGAGTGTGTGTTCGAATCTCTCTAGTACTACCTTTGGGAGAGGTTTAAAGCCTTAATCTTAGACCTGCCCCGATCGGATTAATTGCGAATCAATGAACCGATTGAAATATTTTCAAAAAAAAATATATATTTTCTGATCATTTATACTTTTAGCATTATTGGTAATTTAATAATAGGAATGATCAAAAAAATTTCATTTTTTAAAGCCTTAGAGTATAATTTTTAAAATAAGAAAATATAATTTAAACATTTCCTTAAAAAAAAAAGTGAGCGTAGTAATGATAAAGCAGCCAAGAGAGCTGACGCCAATGGTTTCTGTTTTTCTATGTGTGATAGGATTAAGCATGTGGCTCATAAACATTGACGAACGTGTGTACGGATAACGATGAAGCGCACACCTGGGAAGTTGAATAAAAAATTGTTTTCCCAAATATAAATAACAATTCTTCAAAATTTAAATTTTATCATAAAATGAAGCAATATAAAATTGGGGGGTGGGGGGGAATACATTTACCATTAAAATGCTGCTATTTAGCCTAAGATGCATATATTCGACGTTTTTCGGATGTATACAATTATAAATTTAATAACACAATTTAAATAATAATAATAAGACATACTATTGTGATTATTTGAATGCATCCAAGGTTTTATTTAGTATTACATATTTATTGAATATCTTTATTTTTGCTTTTTTAAATTTGAGAGTATGAAATGAAATGAAACAAATATGACTTATTTATTGCTAATTTCCTTAACACTTTCCTAGTTTAGAGAGTAAAGGAAAAGAGTGAAATAACATCATAAAATATTTATACAATAATACAATAGTTTTTTATTTTATTGTATTGGCATTTTTGCCATTCAAGTACAAATTAAGACAAAAGAAAAAATTTGTAAAAGCTTACCAAAGAAAAAAAAAATTGTAAAATGGTACACGTGGAAAAGATATTATTAAAGTGATATCGCACTTTATACGTGTCATCTAGAGAAGCAAACTCGTCTTTATCAATACGAATTATATAAAAATAAAAAAATACAAGCTATCATGTGGACGTGGTAGCCCGTGTTGGAAATTGTTCTTCTACTTTACAAGTTGGAAATTATTGTTCCACTTTACAAGTTATAAATTGCTACGTGGAACAAGAAGTTCTACTAGGATTTCACGCGCTAGCTTATATGTTACACGATTCTCAACCTAACCCCAACCCGTATAAATATTTCCATCCCCACCCTTCTAATAAATTTTTGGTATTGTTACTGTATTTAGATTCAGTACATCTCATTTCATTAATGAGAGCATTACATATTAGAAGAGAGTAATTTTTTTTTTGACAAAAATAAATAAATTTAATTGACATATAATATTTTTATTGGTGGGATACACTAAATCTTTGATACAATTTATTGCCACCTTTCACCTTCACTTTCCTTTCTTCTTTCAAATTTCTTTAACTCCCAACTCTTTTTTACAACTCATCCTATTTGTCTCTAGTGACATCGTCATATAATTCGAACGTTACAAGTTTGATCTATTTAATCAATTTCAGGTTCTTTTTTCCGTAAATAAATGAAACAAAAAACATTAAAAGAATATAGCAAAAATATTTGATGTACTACCGAAAAAAAAATTCGGAATATTACTTTTACCCAAAATTAAAATCTACCATTTTTTTGTATTATTTTTTTATTTATTTTTGGTAATCAATAGGAGCTTTCAGATCTTTTAATAACTAAGGAGGGCAATAGCCCAAGCAACAAAGGAAAGTAGATAAGTCTGAATCTCGTACATGATTTGCATTAAATATAGAAAATGTCTTGTGAAAGCTCGTTATAGAGATATATTTCTTATTTCTTGCTAGTGACATTCTTGGAGAGCTGGTCTGTGCACATATTTTCTTCTCTCTGTGTGTGTTGAAATCGAACATTCCAAACATTTTGTATCTAAGCTTGAACTGCATTACCCTTGTCGCTAATTATCGACATGATTATCAATGAGTCTCCTTTCATTATAATTTTCTTTGTTCCCAATGACCAGGCATATTCTAAACTTGCCATGACACGGCATAGTTATGCTTCCATCGAAATACAAATTCCAATATTATAAGAATACCCTTCCTTCCATTTGCCTTGGTTGTCTTTTATAAGGCCTCCACATCCAGTGATTCTTGTCTCCATCTCGGTTGCCCCATCAAAGTTGAGTTTTGTCTAGTGGATGACATCGGGTCATGCTATTGAACACTAAAGGTTATGAAAGTGAAAATACTTGAGTTGATAATAACAAAGTACAAGTGAGCTCAACATGAAAGCATAAGTGAAAGAAGACTAAAGCAAAGAACAACTCAAAGAGACAAAGTCAACCCTAAACTCAAAGATGTCAAGGCAAATGAAGACCTAAGAAGCTCAAAACTTGAAGACAAAGGAATACAAGTCAAGACAAAAACTTACATAGTTAGAAATACTTGAAAAAGGGTATTCTAATATATTATAGAATTGTAAATAATCTGTACAAAGGATTATCTATTTATAGAGAATACTTGACCTAATTTTAACCTAATGGGCTTGACCCAATACAACAAATAAATGACTAAATAATAACTAAATAATTATTATTTACAACACTCCCCCTCAAGCTGAGGAATAGATATTTATCATTCTCAGCTTGCTAGTAAGTTCTTGAAATCTGTCTGAAGGAAGCCCCTTTGTTAATAGATCAGCTAATTGACGCCCAGTGGGAATGTATGGAGTGGTAATCAACCCGCTATCAAGCTTTTCTTTGATGAAATGGCGGTCAAACTCAATATGTTTAGTCCGATCATGTTGAACTGGATTATGAGCTATACAAATAGCGGACTTATTATCACATAGCAGCTTCATAGGTCCCTCACATTTTATTTTGAGATCATCAAGTACAATTTTCAGCCACAGTAACTCACAAATGCCTTGAGCCATAACTCGAAATTCAGCTTCTGCACTTGATCTGGCAACCACATCTTGTTTCTTACTTCTCCATGTCACCAAGTTACCGCAAAGAAACATGCAATAACCAGTGGTAGAACGACGGTCAGTCACGGATCCAGCATAATCAGCATCTGTGTAGACTTCTAAAGATAGATTGCCATCACGTCGGAATAACAATCCTTTACCAGGAGTACCTTTAAGATACTGAAGAATTGTCTCTACTGCCTGCATGTGTTTTTCTTTTGGATCGTGCATAAACTGACTGACAACACTAACAGCATAAGCTAGGTCTGGTCTAGTATGGGCCAAATATATCAATTTCCCAACTAGCCGTTGATATTGTCCTTTATCAACTGGAGGACTCTCTTCTTCATAGCCCATCTTGTGATTCTGCTCAATAGGAGTATTAGAGGGTTTACACCCGAGCTTTCCTGCTTCTTTGAGAAGATCAAGAACATATTTTCTCTGGCTGATAAAAATTCCTTTGCTTGAATGAGCTACTTCTATCCCTAGGAAATATCTCAGTTTCCCAAGGTCTTTGATTTCAAACTCAGAGGCAAGCCGTGTTTGCAGAATCTGTCTCTCCACAAAATCATCACCTGTGATAATAATATCATCAACATATACAAGGAGCACAGTAAGCTTCCCATTTTAGGAGTGCTTGAAGAAAAGAGTGTGATCTCCTTGGTTCTGTCTGTATCCTAAGGTCATCATAACCTTAGTAAATCTTCCAAACCAAGCACGAGGTGACTGCTTCAATCCATACAAGGCCTTTTTTAATCTACAAACTTTATTTTCCCCCTTCACAGAATCAAAACCAGACGGGATTTCCATGTAGACTTCTTCTTCTAACTCACCATTGAGGAAAGAATTTTTCACATCAAATTGATTTATATCCCAATTGTAATGGGCAGCAAGGGATAACAAGATTCTCACTGTATTCATCTTTGCAACTGGAGCAAAGGTTTCTTCATAATCAATGCCATAGGTTTGAGTGTAACCTTTGGCCACTAATCGAGCCTTATATCTCTCAAGAGTGCCATCAGAATTATATTTCAGGGCATAAACCCATCTGCACCCTACTGCTTTCTTTCCGTTGGGTCTATCAATAACCTCCCATGTTTTATTTTTCTCCAGAGCATTCATCTCCTCTTGCATGGCTTGAGCCCAATTCCTATCTTTCAAGGCTTCATGTACTGATTTTGGGATTGCAATAGAATCTAGTGCTGAAACAAAGCTTTTGTGCTGCACAGAAAGATTAGCAGAAGAAACAAAGTGGGAGATAGAGTATTGAGTACAAGAGGGACAGGAGGAACAAGTTTTCTTGTGACAAGATCTTTTTCCTTTTCTAAGAGCAATAGGTAAGTCATCAGAAGTAGAAGCAATGGGTAAGCCATTACAGATATAAGAAGAAATAGACAAATCATGAGAGGAAATAATATTAGAATCAGAAACAGGAGATTCAGGAGACTCAGAAGAAATAGGAGATTCAGGACTTACCAGTGGTTCAAACAATTGAGGTTGCTGGTGAGACAGTATGGGTTGTATCTCAGGTGTATTTGAAGGTTCTGACACACCAGGAGCAGACACACTAGGAAGAGAGAAGATTGATCCAGACTCAAAGAAGGAAGGGGACGAGTCTTCTGAAGAACTATTCTCCCCCTGACGATGAGAACCCAGGAAATAAGATTCAGATTCTTGAAAGGTGACATCCATAGAAACAAAAAATTTCCGACTTGGTGGATGATAACACTTGTACCCTTTTTTATAAGGGTTATAACCAAGGAAGACACACTTAAGAGCCCTAGGATCTAACTTACTCCGATGTTGTTTATGAACATGGACAAAGGCAACACATCCAAACACTCTTGGTGGAAGGCTCTGCAATATAGGAACAGAAGGAAAGAAGGAAGTCATGGAATGAATAGGACTGATATTGTTAAGAACCCGTGAAGGTAAACGGTTGATCAAAAAAGTTGCAGCTAATACTGCTTCTCCCCAATAAGAACTAGGAACAGATGTCTGGAAAAGTAGTGCTCTAGCAAATTCAAGAAGGTGACGATTTTTCCTTTCAGCAACCCCGTTTTGTTGAGGGGTATCAACACATGTGAGCTCATGAATCATACCTCTGTCTGAAATGAATTGTGACAGGCGTTGATTGACGTACTCAGTACCATTATCAGATCTGAGTCTTTTAATACCCTTATCAAACTGAGTCTCAACCATGTGATGAAACCGAATAAATATCTCTGGTACTTCAGACTTGTCTTTCATCAAGTATATCCATGTTATCCGAGTACAATCGTCAATAAAAGAAACAAACCACCTTGCACCTGAAACACTGTGCACTTTAGAAGGGCCCCAAACATCAGAATGGATAAGAGAAAAAGGTTCCCTGCTTTTAATAGTGCTAGAAGGAAATGACACTCGATGGTGTTTTGCAAATTTACAAACATCACAATGAAAGGTCTCAACCGACTTATTGAGAAACAGAGAGGGGAACATAGACTTCAAAAGACTAAATGGTGGATGCCCCAGACGCTTGTGATGGAGCCAAATCATAGACTCTGCAGTAGAAGGATGACGTGTCATTAATAACTGATTTTTGCTAGCATGGTCTGGAAGGAGATGATACAACCCATCCTGTTCATTAGCAACTCCAATTGTCTTCTTCGTGGTAAGATCCTGAATAAGACAATGAGAAGGAAAAAATGTGATAGAACAATTCAAATCAGTTGTAAGTTTTTGAGTGGAGATAAGATTAGTAGAAAGCTGAGGAACATAAAGAACATTTTTTTTTTTTGATAACATCATAAAGAACATTTTTAAGAAACAAGGAAGGTTGAATTTGAATGTTACCAGAACCAATAACTGATTTATGGGATCCATCAGCTATGGATATAGTATGACTACCAACAGTAGGATGATAAGAACAAAACAACTCAGTACGACAAGCCATATGATCAGTTGCACCAGAATCCAAAATCCACGAGGTTTTAAAATCAGTGCAAGAAGCAAGAAGAGATATAGAACGTGTGCTCTTACCAGATAAGATCGAAGAACTATCATGCTCGGCCATTCTTTAACAAAAAAAGTTAACAACCAGCGATAAAATCAACCAAACAGAATATCAAATGACCTATGATCAGAAAAATAATTACAGATCCAGACAGAAGACAAGAAGACGAGAAGAATGGTGGTGGTCCGGTCCAAAAACACGGCCGCACGCGCCTCCACGCGCCGGAGAAAGGAGCTGCGCGTGGGATTCACTCGCCGGGAAAGGGGCGACGCGTGAGAGCGCGTGGAGGGGCTTCGCCGGCTGAGATTTTTCTGGTGTGGTCGTCTGGTGAGCGCGCACCTGTTTGTGGGTGGTCGCGATTGAAAAGTTGCCGGAAAGTGGTCCAAACGGTGAAGACAGATCTGATTGGAGGCGGTCGGAGGTGTTTCGGTCGTTTGTGGCGGAGGAACAGTGCGTAGAATGATAGATCGGAGGAAAAATAAGGTCAACAATGATCCCCTTGGTCTAAAAGGTCCCTGGAAAAATTTTCCGGTGGTGGCTGATGGCGGCAAGAGGCAAAGAAATTAGGGTTTTGTTAAAAAAGAAGATAATATGTGCAGAAGCAAAGCCCTCAGATCGAGAGCTCTGATACCAACTTGAAAAAGGGTATTCTAATATATTATAGAATTGTAAATAATCTGTACAAATGGTTCTCTATTTATAGAGAATACTTGACCTAATTTTAACCTAATGGGCTTGGCCCAATACAACAAATAAATGACTAAATAATAACTAAATTATTATTATTTACAACAGAAATATATAATTAAGTATGAAAACTTAGAGAATGAAGACTATTAAGCTCTCACTTCAAGAAATGCTTTCATAGTTCACAAAAACATGCATTAAAGAAACTCACATGGTCTAATCATGTATACAAAATCACACACACATGAAAGTTGCTATACAATGGCTAGACACATTCACTCGTGTTAATAGTGATTAGAAATCATTTAGAGATGAATTGGATCGAACATTGCATGAATTTATATTTTTGTCCTAATTTTTACACGAGTAAAACAAGACAATTACCTAAGTAAACGATTTACTCATGTAACTATAAGTGATTTACTCAAGTAAATGCTGATAAACAATTTACCCGAATAAGCCGTCACAACTTCTATATAAACGACTATAATTGCAATTGGACTTCTATATAAACACATATTGTCGTGAATGGCTTTGCACTTCTTTTCTCACAAAAGGCAACAAGTTACAAAAAATAGTTTCTCCAATCCTAGTCTCTTTTTTATCTTGATTCTTTTGCAAATTTTTGTGTTCCGTTCTTTCTAATTCATTTGGAAAAAATCTTTACAGTTGCTTTGTTGCACCAAGCAACTACAAATGTTGCGAGTATGGGTGCAATCACGCAAGACATGTAAGATTAAGTGGGTTTCTTTTGGAAAAAGATTTGAAACAAACTCTAAGAGCTTCGTATAAAAGATTAAGCAAGTTTCTTTTGGAAAAAGGTTTTACAAGAGGGAAAATTAACATAACTCTTTCAAAAAAAAGAAAATCAATGATCACATTTTGCTTATGCAAATATATGTTGATGATATAATTTTTGGAACAGTGACCAAAATATCACTGTTCACTGATTTTTTTACCCAAATGCCAAGCGAACAGTGTTATTTCCAAATATGTCACGCAGGCAAGTTCGCTACAGTGCCCAGCGAACTTGATTTGTTGATGTGGCACGTTTCTGGTAGATAACAAGTTCGCTACTCCCATTAGTGAACTATGTTGCAATAAATGCTGACACATTAGAGAAGTTTGTTGCCACATGCAGCGAACTAGGTGAGCCACGTGTCTGATATGCACCAAGTTCATTGAAGGTCCAAGCGAACTAGATGCCACGTGGCACAATCTCGTTGCCCGATCAGAATTAATGTACCAATCACGATAAAACACTTCTACTATGGTGCAATTACCTTTGTCACGGATGAGCTCTACTCACCATAAGAAAGTGAAGAGTATCAACTCAAACAAATTGGAATGCAAGAAATTCTCCCCTTCTACTATGGACATCTGTTAGTGATTACAGGTCTCCAACACGAAATAAAGTTTAATCAGTCAACACCCAGAAAACAAGATAAGTGTTCCTTGAGCTCATGATCCCCACATCCTAATTTACCTAGCGAATCCATTTACATTATTACAATGATTCACATAGCTCCACAGCCTAAAATTTTAGTTGCGTTAGTATACTTTCCAGGCAAACAGGTTGACATCATTATGGTCTTCATGCCCATTATTCTGTCCCTCCCACTTAGAATAGGACTGAAAATTTATTTGGCATTTTAATGGCCAATATGTACTTGAGATTCATTAGATATTACCCTGCCAGCTGTGTCACCCATCACTTTGACGCTACTACTCTCCAACCCACTTTTAATCCAAGCAAGGCTGCTAATGTCAGTAGCTATTGCAGCCAACTCAAAACTAGGGAAAGATGGGGGTTCTGAAAATTCAATGAATTCTGGTCCCAACAAAGAGCTTTTGTACCCTTTATCATTTGGAACAGCACAGCAACCATGGCCGCACTGGTGAGGTACAGAACGGTCACCATAAATCCCTTCAACCATTTTTAAAAATTCAATATCTGGTTTTGATGATTGCAAAATGGGTCCTTGCATTGGAACAGGCCTTTGAATTGATGTTGAAGGCTGTAAACCTTCAAAAGAGGGATATACACTAAAAGCACTTACACGTGCTGCTGGCCGAAAAAGGGTAGGTGGATCCTTGGCTTCATGGTATAATTGACCCTCAGTCCGTGCTTTGTCTTCATATTTATCGTCCATGATCTCCACAGAACTGACATCCCTTCCTTCAGAGGATTTCAAGGAATTAACATCTCCACAAGATAGAGTCTCTTCAGATGATGCTTTGGCTTTGTCCAAGCTAACATCATCCACTATGTTACCAGATTCTAGCCTAATCTTATCAAGTTCAACTCCCCGGCGCCTCAAAGTGGAATTCCAGTGGTTCTTAATGGCATTATCAGTTCTTCCTGGTAGAAGTCTGGCAATGGCTGCCCATTTGTTCCCGTGGACTGCATGAGCAGAAACTATGATCCGGTCCTCCTCATCTGAAAAGACATTACTTTGTTTAGCCTAGATTTACAGGAAAGTGGCATAATAAGATTTAATAGTTGAAATCCAGAGGTTTCTAAGGAAATATAAATGATATAATTCTAATGCACACAACTTTCAATGCAATGCGTGTTTCTATACATTGGTGGTATTATGCCTTGAATCATAAGATAATGAAGACAGTTCTTATTTGTTTTTAGTGGGCAGTTTCACACACACACACAAAAAAAGAAGCTTAGTCTTAGCTGCATGTTGCAGAAAAGTCATCTGTGAGACAATAAATGGATAATAAAGAGCTCTATCATAAGGGAACAGAAATTTTTCTTCACTTTTTTAGATTGAAGCTCTAAAACTAAGAAAAAGAACCTTCATTTATTATACCAACTATTATGTTTTTTTGGTTGCAGCTGCTGATTCCAAAGGGATACTTAGGTTGAGATTTTAGAAAAATTTAACACTCACCTCTGTAATTTCATTATTTCCCAAACACTAGACTTTATTTAATTCTTGTTTGCTTTCTGTTTGAGGATTCTCATAACTCATCTTTCTGATTTTCTAGTTGTCAACTAGTTTAGAGTCGTTAGATCCTGAATTTATCATACCATAGTTTTTGCTGGAAACTGCAATTAAACCTTGAATATCATAGACCACTAGATATAAAATTGGAACAAAAAGGAGAGTAATAAATTTTAATGGCCAACTAACATAATGCAGTGCAACATGGGAAGCAGAGATAGCTTGATATGGAATGAGATGTATTCATAATATCTAGAATCCTTGATCACAAATACAGACCAGTAATAATAGCTCATTTACATGATATAATGTATCCTGAGCATATTGAGCTTTTCTTTATGTGATATAATAGCTTTTAACCCACAAAAAAGAGAGGTTCATGAGATCAGAAGCTCTGTCACCATGTGTCAAAATCAGTTTCATAATCTAAAAGTTCATGTATAGTATTTGTGGGTGTAATTGTAACTAACTTGGGGGTGATATTTTGGAATCTTTTACTGTTGCATGATAGAATATTAAGGGGGAGTAGAGGAATTAGAGGGTATTGGGGAATTTAGACTGGGAATTGGGACTTTGGGAGAGACCTTAGCCCCTCAAATGCTACTGGACTGTCATTCATTTTCTGCATCTTTTATTATTCTGTCAAATTTCTCCGCATCACTAGCAGATGCTTCTTCCTACTCGTAATTTTCTATATCTCCATTTGTTGTCTTTACTTTTTACCGGTTTCTTACTAATCAGCTTCATAAATACAAGTATCAGTTTGGTTTTCTGTGAGTTTCCTTCTCATTGTGTTTGGATCCCAAACACATGTGCATAAGTATTATGTATACTTAAAACACACTAGACTTGTGTGATCATGGCAGCTGTACTCTATGGATGAATGTCCACTTCAAAGAGCAAATGGATCACCCTACATAAACACAGATCATCTTCCCTCAAGTCACTGGCCAGACCTTAGATCAGTTTCTACAAATATAGGCACAAGTTGATTGAAGGTATCCCAACAAATGATGATATACCATATATGTGAACTTATATTCAGTGCTTGCAAAAAGCGGTAAGACAATTGAGATGGAATATTACTTGTGATGATGGAACTGGAATATATCAAAATCTAACTATAAATTCAAATCACAATTTACACAATCTTACAAAATCTTTAGAAATTTATCTTGGGTCAGTAACAAGTAGGCTCGGTGCCACTTGAGCTAAGGGCTTTAGACTTGTATTTATTCATTTGACTTCTTGATGGGGTGTCATCTTTGCTAACTCAGTACACATTAGGAATATATACATTCAGTGAATAACATCAAATAATCTCACATTGCATTCCAAAAATTAGGGATCAAACTAAAAAAATTGAAAACTTTAAGGACAAACTTGACAAAAAAAAAAAAAAAACGTTTGAGGGTCAAAAGATTTTTATTTTCACCTTTATTACGAATGGGATTCCCATTTTTCAAAACCAAATCTCACAAAAAAAAAAAAACTGACGAGATGCAAAATCCAACTTGCTGCAGAACAAGACTAATGAACATAGCAAATTCCAAGAAAATCAAGAATTCCAAAAATGTAATAGCAAATGTTTAAAAAAAAAAAATTGAACACTAAAGAACACAATTGAATTCAAACCCAATCACTAATGCTGCGAAAGAAAAAAAAAATCAAGAACAGTTATTAGGTACCAGTGAAGGGCTTGCGCTTAACGGCAGGGTCAAGCTGATTGCACCACCGGAGCCGGCAAGATTTGCCGGATCTTCCGGCGATCCCGCGAGCGATGAGGCTCCAGTTTCTGGCGCCGAACTTGCTGACGAGGCGGCTTAAAATGGCGTCTTCTTCCGGTGACCAAGGACCCTTCACTCTGTCCCTACCGCTACCACCGCCGTCGCCGCCGCCACTGCCACCTCCTTCACCTAACCCGAGCAACCCTTCATCTCCGCTTACGTCAGCATCGACGGCGGTGTTGGTTTCTTCAGGTTCCATCCGTAAGCTGTGAGTTAACAAGTGAGTGTAAGAAAGCTAAGAGTGAAAGCGTGAAGACAGAAGCAGCGGCAAACAAAAAGGGGCAAAATGTTTAGGTACTTTGTCCAAAGGGAAGAAAAAGGGGGAGAAAAGTGGGTCCACTTGTCCCCTCTTCGTTTATACTTTTATCCTTTCTTCTATTTTATATTTTAGAGTACCATCTTTCGTTTCTGACAATTTTCATAAGACACGTTTTAGTCCCGAAGAATAATGACGGAGCATGTCTGCAATGGTGGTTTTTTAGTGTTAAAGACCAAATAGGATCTTCAGTTGTCCAAAACTCCAAGAAGACATAAGGCATGTTCAAAATGGCATCGTATTACTTCCACGATGACATATTTAACGGTGACTCAGCAAAGTAACAGTCCACGTGTGCTCCGTTAGTTGGGCCGTCAGATGCCAACTAACGGAAGGACAAACATGGCTCTTTTTTTCAAATTTTAGGGACTAAAATGAGCATTTTTTATTGACCGGGACTAAAATGTGCCTCGTGAAAATTGCCAGGGACGAAAAAAGGGTATTTACTCTATATTTTATCTCATGAAATATATTGTTTTTTCTATAAAAAAGAGAGAGGAAATAATAGTCTCATGTTGTAAGAGACTACTATCTTATGCCATAAACACTTCGACAAGTGTGCTGCTATTTTCTTTTGTTTTGTTTTCTCTTTTTTAATGGTGGGTTTCATCATTTTGTATCTTAGCATAAGATATGTTCTATTCTACCACATGAGAGTAGACAAACTCAAAAAAAAAATATCAATCTACACTAATTTCTAAATTATATGTCAATTATCTTAAAGTTGAATTTTTTATGTGACGTAACTTCGTGTTGTGTAACACCCCAATTTATGGTGACAAGTTACACTAGAAAGAGATACAAATAAACAGAAGTATGTGTATGTACACACATCCATACAAAGCCGGGTATCAAATTAACATCTCCATAGTTAAATACAAGGTGGCTCAACCATGACATTTACAAAACCTTCATAAGGTCCTAGGAATACAAATAGTCATAGTTTCTACTTCAAACTATTTGCACTTTCCAAAAAATAAATACATAAGTAACCAAAATACGTTATTCGTGATTATATATTACTTGGGTTACTGCCTTTGCCATAATTTCTTTGAAATAAAATTCCAATAGGGTGAGATCTGAATTTCAGTAAATTATAAATTATCAATCATACTTTATCATCATTTGAGAATATGTCATTATTGGCGTTGTCTTGTTGTAAACAGCGCCCATCAGGGGCGTGTCTCTCTCCTGCCACACACGCCCTACGTTGGGCGTGTCCCCTTCAGTAGCTCATGCCCCACATGAGCTTGTCTCTCTCCATGAGAACATGTCCCGTGTAAGCGTGTTTAGATGCTATAGATTCGTAATATTTTACAAGATGACTACTTATATGAAGAGAATGCAAGGAGAGAGGTCTATAACTAGTCGGTCTCATGAAAGAGAAAAATCATATTATATGAAGACAAGCACAAGAAATTCACTAGTCGTCTATAACTATTGTATGATCTCTATAAGACCGTGGATACTCTATTGTATGTCTCTCTCACTCTTTGACCTGTATTGAGTTCAAACACGGTGAGACGTCCCTAAAAAATTGTCAATCAATATACCTTAGAATCTCTTACTTATCGCACCGAAGACTATGGCATACTGTGGAAATCTTGAAAGTAGACACGGGACATTGATAATAACAAATATTGAATGAACTGAACAGATGCAAGGCGGCATTAATAGATATCATTTATGCAGATGTCCTCGCTCGGTTGTTTGCTATAGAGAGCAAAACCAGCGAGTAAGGTCGAAGAGAAAGTAGTTTTTGTGTAACTGCTCACTATAGCATTATACTTTTAAGGAGGTCCTCGTTGGATTGGCTCCAAAGAAAGTCCATACTAGCATTATACTTTTAAGAGAGATCCACTAAGGCTGTTTCTCTTATGTGTTTATCATAAGGAGGTCTTAATTGGGTTGGCTCCAAGAAAAACACACATAATTTCTATTGGCCAGAGAATTATCTCAAACATACATTCATATAATTTATAATTCCTCAAATCATGCATTAAACTATGTTTTAATACTACAATGCACACCAATCACATCAACCATTACTCCAATGAAGTATGATAGAACAACAAAAGGGATTAACCCCAAGATACAAGAATTTACCTCTTAAAAACTTTTCTTTCAACACTTTATTTATGTTCAAGATGCTAAATACCAACTTCTTCACTAGCACCACCTATTTAAAAGGTGATCAGTAATACATACAACATACAATTTATCAAGCCCGAGCTAGAATTCTTTCAAGAACATGAATTTAATACACTTAACCCTATTCTTGAAGATTCAAGAATCAATGCCTTGACCAAAGGAAAGATCCAATAGTTGGTCTCCACCAAGACACCATTAAGTTTAACACTACAACATCAAACACACATAAAGTCACTATCAAAATCCTCTTCCAACTCATAAATCACAAAACCTATATTTTCTCAAACCATTGATTATCAAATGTCCATGAAAACTTAAGAGAGGTGATGAGTTTTACCTCAAAGCTTCAAATAAGTGTATAAGAAAAAAATTGCAAGCTTCCAAGAGATGAAACTCTCTTCCTACCCCAACACCAAAGTGGCGCCCCATACTAAGGAAACAGATTTACTTCCCGCACAAAGCTTTTAGGTTGAAAATGATAGGTGAGTTTTACTACCTATGAATAGCTTAGCAACTTTCATGAAGGAAGATAGTCATTTCTATGACTTAATCAAAAATGGGGTTTTAAGGATGAAGAGAATGCAAGGTTCAACCATAGATAAAGAGACTTCACGATGAAGTTGAAATTTGAAGAGAAATAAAGTGCTTTAGTTGTGTTTGATGGCCTTCGACTTTAGTCAAATTATATAATTAGCAAATGACTCTTTTGCTCTTCTTGTTTAATTTTCTCCCAACTAATGACTTAAAATATCTAACATGAGTTTTGAACTCATAAAAGTCATGAAATAGTTTCCACTAAATCATTTCTATGTTTTAGCTAACTTTTGCTTAATTGTATTTTCACACCGAAAATTGTATGTTGTATGTATTATTGATCACCTTTTAAATTGCCTCGAAAAGTAACTTAATTTGAATAATTAGTTTTTTCATCTAATCAACCTCTTTTAACTATTAAATAATTCTTAATTACTCAACTTAGCTGTTTGGGTTATTATAGGAAACACTTAATCTATGTAAGTGTAAAACATTATTGTTGATGTGAGTCCTTACAATTTTGAAATATTTTCTCATTTATACAATAATATTTTGAAATCCCTAAAAAATATTGAGTGGATTGAAGGTTTAACAACGAAAAAAATTAATAGTCAAATTATAATTATTAATAATAAATTTAAAATTTTTGACTTTGTAAGAATTTTGAAATATCATGATATCAATGAATCATATTTCAAAATTCTTTCAAATTAAAAATAATATCATTATTATTGCCTTTTTTTTAAGTTAAAAAAATCGGGAGAATTGAATTTTTTAGACTAATATAAAAAAAAAAAATCAATAATGACATTGTTATTATTAATAATAAATTTAATATTTTTGAATTTTCAAATAGTCAAAAAAAATTATGACAGACAATTAAGAATTTTTTTGTTTTCAACATTATTTAACTTAATAAATCTAATAATGATTTAAAATTTAATAACAATGTTTAATTCAATACAATTTAGTTAAGTTAATGCTCTCAATCCAATATTTAAGGTGAATTTTATTTGGTCAATTTCAATAAAATAGTGATAGATTGATATATTTCAAAATATGCATTAAATTGATAATTGTTTTTTTTTTTAAAAAAAAAACATATCTGGTCAATCAACCTTAGATGATATTTTACATATTATAATCATATTTTCAACCTCCAATTTTTAATTATTTTCTTCTAAATTCAGCATGTTCAATAAAGCGTTAATATAAAGTTTTAATGGTAGATAGAGGTGTCCAAACAGGATATGACATACGGATTGACCCGCGACACAACACAAAAATTTGTGTTCAGGTTGATCCTAAAAAAATTTGTGTCGTGTTTGTGTTGAAAAAATAACCTCCAAAAAATTCATATTGTATCACATGTCGTGTCAACACGAATTCGACCCTTATTTTTTTTGAATTTTGACCCTTTTTTTAAATTTCTTTTGATCAATTATCATTTTGATCCATTATTTGTGTGTCGTTCATATCCACCTTCAAGAAATTTATGTAATGTGTGTCAAGATTCTGACTCGTTTTGACACCCTTGGAGTCTTAAGTTAACATTAGCACAAATATTTAAAAGGGATGGTTATGTTATTTACCTATTTAATCTTTCTATACTCACTGCCTTCTATAACCGTCATATTTAATTTAAATCAACAATATCAAATACAATAACTTTTTTTAACGAAAACAATTACGTACTCTAGATTTTGATTCACTCCCTTACTTTTCTTAAGAAATTACACCTCTCCTTTCTCTCACTTTTAATGGTTAATTTAAATTCAATGTAACGGTGATATAAAAGTAATAGAGATAGGAATATTAAATAAGTAGGTAATATAGTCACCCTCTTTTTATAATATATAAGGTAAGAAACAAGAGGTGTAATTAATTGAGAAAAATAAAGGAGAGTAAAATACAATAAAAAGTAATATATTTGAGACCATTGATTCAAATTTAATCTAATGGTAATAAAAATATAGTAAGGGTGAAAAGATTAAATAGGTAGGCAATATAATCGTCCTCTAATTTTTTGTAGAAATATTTATTTTTATTTTAAAAGAATATAATTCAAACTTATGTGCAAAAATTCCCTTTAGCTTTTTTCTTTTTCAAAAGTCAAATTTAATGAAATCTCTCCTTTGGAAAAAGGTTTTCAAAACAACAATTAAACGAATTCCCTTCTCTTTTTTAAATTGAAAAACTTTTTAGTATGGGAGAATTAGAGATAAGTA